AATGTACTGGTGGAGGAAGATCTCCTAGGGATAATAGACATATGACATTTCAGATATTCTCGATCAAGATGTATTGGATTCTCTTTTGGATGGACCTATCATCATATGACATTTTATTCTACGAGATTTGAAAAACCCGCTAGTCAAGGAAGACCTCCTAGGGATAAGAGACATAGGCAGTTCAGATATTTACGACCAAGAAGTACTGAATTCTCTTTCGAATATGCCCTGACGAGAAGGAATGTTGAAATACCGACAGGCGTTGGAGCTAATTATAAATTAATATGCTTTATATATATATTTACCGGTAATAGGTAAATATTGTGTTCCTCTCATCATCCTCACAAATTGAAACCTTCAACAATGTCACTCGATCCGACCACCTTCGAAACCATAGTCCCTTCCCGCTACATCACCTTCACATTCCCTAACCCTCTTTCCCAGGACCACCACCTCTGCGTCGCGGTTCTCGACTCTCCATCTTCATCCACTGCCAGAATCGCCGCCATGTGGGTACCACCCGGTCGCGAATCCGACTGGATTTTCTCCACTTTCTCCGGCCATCTCCAGCTTCTCCTCTCCTCCACCACACCCCACCACCTCTCCCGCTTAATCCTCATTGGAAATCCCCCGGTTTACTCCCACCCCACCTCGTATTTTTCCACGCCCTACCCCTCACCCAATCAGTCAAAGGAAACCGAAGAAAAATTACGCCCTTTATTACTAGCGCTAACTCCCAAATCAGCTTTCTATCAGAAGGGTATTTGTAATAGTGAATTCCCTGAAATTCCTTTCTTGATTTATGAAGACGAGGTGAGTGGATGCAAAATTTTGGAAATTTGTGAAGGGCCTTGTGCTGGTGAAATGGTAATAGAAAATGTTGTGGTGGAAACTAATACCACTAAAGAGTTTAGGAGGAGATTGAGGTTTAAGAGAATGCCAAATCTAGTGCAAACCCAGATGAGAATTCTCCCAAAAAATGAATTAAATTCTGGAGAATTAGATAACTTGGAGTTTGTAATAGATAATAGTGTTCTGGTTCATCCATATTTGAGTCCCATGGTGGGGGGCCTTTCGGTAATTGGATCTCATCTGGAAATTCGAATCAAGGGTGGGATTAGGCCAAAAGCTTTGTGTCTGGGGATCGGTGGTGGTGCATTGCTTGGATTTTTGAGTTCCCAATTGAATTTTGATGTCACCGGAGTGGAGAATGATGAAGTTGTACTGCAAGTTGCGAAAAAGTATTTTGGATTAGAAAACAACGGATTGATTCACTTATTTGTTGGAGATGGAATAGAACTTGTTGAAAAACTTGCGAAGAATATAACTGCCGATAGCAAGTTTGATATGATTATGGTTGATTTGGATTCAAGTGATGCAACGATGGGCATTTGCGCACCACCTTTGGAGTTTGTTAAGAAGTCGGTTCTTCTAGCTGCAAGAGAGGTTCTTTGCGAGCTTGGTGTTCTTATCATAAATGTGATTCCTTCAAGTGAGTTATTTTTCAAGAGATTAATTAGTGAGTTTGAGGAGGTTTTTGAGGAGTTATATGAGATTGATGTTGGGAATGGGGAGAATTTTGTTCTTATAGCTACAATGTCAAAAATCGAAAATGCTTTGAACGCGTGTGAAGACACCCTTTTGAATAAGTTGAAATCTGTTTCAGGGTCCTATATAAATTCCATACAGAAAATCTCAAGGAGTGCCCATCAAGAATTTTGCAAATAGCCATTTGGAAGCTATTCAGCTACTAGAATGACATACATTGTTCCTTCATAGTGATCTACAACGAAATGATGAAGTTTAGGTTATGAAAATCAGGAGTTGCACTGTTGCAGTGCTAAAAGAGTCCTAAAGCTGAGAAAGAAACTAACTTTTCGATGCTTTGTGAAAAACCACTAAAATTAATTTGGGTTCTGTGGTGATAAGTATTTCTGAAGAATTAAGTTTACATTGGGCAGTTGTCGGTATTGGTTTGTTAAAGTCGAAGGCTAAGGCTAATCGGTTGGTGGCAGTAATTAAGTTTTCTCTTGTCAAGCTCTTTGAATAACTCAAATGTTCTAATAAATTTTGGGACCATGGTGTCATCTGAAGTCATAACTTTTTGAGTACAGAATGGTTTATCACACAGTTGCCAAATGGTTTATGAGCACAGAATATGGTCATCTGAAGTCGTAACTTTTGTCCCAGCTACCAACATCATACAAAGGTCTACAGAATATCGAAGGGCGAGTTTAAAAGCTGTCTTTAGCTAATCATTTGTATGAGAGTCGATGGATGAGAAGTGTTAAATCTTTCTTTGCAGTTTCATGATATTTCAAGAAGTCAGCTTTAAATATATTCTGTCTTCCAATTTTATTTGTCCAGATTGCATAGTGAATTTCGCGTTCATATTTAGGCATGCTACATAAAAGAAGAAAAGAGTGATTTTAAGAAAAAATGTATTTTGGGATAGTGATTTTTTGGATAATATATGATTAAAAGATGGAAATTTTTTGAATTCAGGTGTAACATTATTTTATTGAAAATGCGTAGTTGAAAAGAAAAAAGAAAAATGCATTAAAATTAAAATGGAACCAGACGGGGTAAAAAATTTTATGCGGGAAATGCCATGTCCCATTTTTCAATTTTTAAATATTTTGAATAAGAAGAAAGAAAAAATGCATTTAAATTTGACACATGATTTCTTTATCGTTAAAAAGTTCTTTTTTCGATAACAAATAGGGTATTTACACTTTGCACAATCTCACATCATCTTTTCTATCTCTTGTATTTAATCCAACCATCACAATGTCGTCACGTCACCCATCTGTCAACAAGGGTGTCAAACTAAATGTACAAATAGCTTAATTGTCAGACGCAATTACTACATGTACGGGTGAAAACTTTGTCCTCTGGTCTACGAGAAATTTATGAATTTGGATTCTTTTGGAAATTGTATGCAGTTACTCGGCAGCTCGGAATGTAACTTCATTCTCCATTCTACAAGAATTTTTATGATTTTTCTGAAAACATGATGCAATTACTAACTCCATTCGGCATTGGACGAAGAATTTGCCGGGCTAAGCATGGCAACAGTGCACGTAAACTTAATGTTGGCCAGAATGGTGCAGGTTTCGAATAGTCCATTTACCCGGATAATGGCAAGGCGGACTTCAGCGAGAAGCTGGAATTTACTGTGGTGATGAAAATAGCCTAAGGGCCAAGATCGAGCCAAGGGCATAGAAAATTCATGGGTTTGCCAAGTTATTTGGTTTATATATTCTCTATTATATTCTTTGATTAAACAAGGCTGTATTTTTCCCATTTTTCTATCAATTTCCCTGTTTGCTTGGTTTCAGGTTACTTTATGAGGTTTATTTAAAGTGCTTAAACAAGATTAATTTGTGTTTCATACGTACTCTGTACGAATAAATGAAATTAATGATGTCCATCTAATATAGACCAACTGCACCAAAAATGAAAGTTTGGAGACAGTCGGAAAAATTAAAATTGATATAGGGACCAACTGAGAGAGTTCGAGGACTGTCAAGCTGGTATCAACTATATAACACAGATATCTAACTGAACTAACGGAATGCCAAAAAATCACCAAGCTAGAAGAAAACAAGAATACAGAGAGAGAGAATCACTAATGCCATATGTACAGAAAGCCACTAGTAATAAGATGAGTGCTGCTAACATTAGAGAATTAAATCTTGCGGCTGGAACTTACTAACTAAACTGGCTCTCCACTTGTTTCTTTGCCATCCTCTGGTTGAAGATGAGCCTCCTGGACGGGGTTTGTTATCAGGTCGTCTCGGGATCTCGATGAATGAGTATGGCCGGTTGATAAGCAGTGACAGCAATGCCTATTGATGGACTGAGCGTTATATTGAGATCGGATAGCTGAGCTGAACATGGGTTGCATATACCACTTTCTCTCGGGAATTTCACGCAGAGAAATTCGACATACTGGACATGTCGAGTTCTGCTGCAGCCATATGTCGATACACGTAGCATGAAAGGAATGGCCGCAGACTGGCAGAATACGCAGTGTATCTTCGTCACGATAATCAGCAAGGCATACAGTGCACCTATGACGCAATATTGTGCAGTCAGAATGGTGACTAAGAATTGTAAAATTAGCAGTGGTTTAATGTTGAAAATAAGTTTCTCGTTTAAAGCTTTTGAGCAAAAGATACCATAGAACTAGAAACGACAATGACAAAGATCATCCTACTAAAAATCTTTTACCTATTGAATTATATATCATATAAAATTTAAATCAATCTAGAAAGCAACATCAAGAACGCAGTAATATTATTGACAGAAACAAGCATAGAGCTATGATATGATAACAGCAGAGACAACACGAGGATGTGTATATCAATAGTTGCAGACAGGCATTAAGTGCAGATGAAATCAGTTTTACACATAAAACAACTTAAAAAGACATAGAATGTTGGCTATGCTTAAAAAAATTACTTTCTAGTAAGTTTGCTTATAAATAAATGCATTTCTTTTTAAATAATTAATTTATGTTGGTCAAAATTGGAAATGTGTTACTTATTCGAAAGTATCATCTGTCAAATATACTCAATAAAAGACTCGATGTCCATCTTTGTGAAAATTTCTGTCATTAAATAGAACTAAAATAACAACTAAATATGGAAGCAATCCATTACAATATTAATTAATGGTAAAAATAAT